GGTCCATGCGGTCCACGATGCGCCTGGGGACCGGGGCGGGGAACACGTCAATCTCGGACCCGCCTACCCGGGGGCTCCCGCCGTCCAGGCTCCGCCCCTCATGCGATAGCCACGCCCCCTGGAGACACACCTCCTACTAAGAATAAGGTCCAGAGTCGCCCGCCAACTGGGGGAGACACATGTCAATCCTGAGGCCACGCCCACCTCAGGGCTCCGCCCCTTCAATCAAGGCTCCGCCCCCCGAGGCGATCCGCCCATTCCGACACCCAGCGGGCCTATGATTGGCGCTGCGGCCCAAGACACACCCGGGTGGGGGAAGAACCTAAGACAATCCAGGGCCACGCCCTCCGCTCTGGCCCCGCCCCCCGACCTGCCGCGTTCCTCGTCCCGCTGGTCCTAGTTGGAGTGGGGACAGCGGGAAGGGCGTCACGCTGCGCCCCGGTCCGCAGGACTCCTGCCCCAAGGCTGCCTCTAGCAATAGTCTCAACAGCAAAGAATTAAAAGCAAAAGCCGGCCTCTGAGCAGCTGACAAAGCCACACACCCCTCGCCGCCTCAGACCCTGCCCTGTCCCGCCCCTCTCCCTGGCGCTGCCAGTTTGAGGACCCTCCCTTCTAACCTGCCTCCCGCTCCGCCTCCTCCCTGGACATGCGGGTCAATTTCAGGCCCCTCTCCCCCCAGTCCTGCCCCTTGATGCGTCCCCTACCCTTTTCCACCCGTGATCAGGCATTGACCTAGGTCCGTCCATCACCCGCAACCTCGCGGGCTGGCTTCCTCCCCCACCTCCTCGTGCTCCGGCGGATGCCGTGCACTGCCCCGCTCCCCACCGGCGCATGTCAAACCCCGGTAGGTCCCACCTTACACCCCGTGTCTCAGGTCTCCCCAGTTTGGGTCCGCGCCCAACCGCTAACCGAGCGCTCCAGGAGCCTTATCTGTCACTGTCCCTAAGCCCCTGCGACCCGGTCGCCCGGGTAGAATTTGAGTCGGTCCTGCTGCCCCCTCCTGGGCCAGGCAGTCTCTGCTGGGATCCGTGGGGGACGGGCTTTGTCCCCAAGACTCTCATACACGCTCTACCCTGAGCTTTGAGCTGCTGTTAAGAGCGTGGGCTCCACAGCCAGATACTCATTCGGCAGCCTCCTCTTACTGGCTGTGTGACTGTGGGCAGGTCGCTAAACCTCTCTGAGCCTCAGCTTCCCCCTCTGTGGGGGAATACATTAGTTAACCCTTGTAAAGCCCTTAGAACAGTGCCTGGCATTGCAGTAGTGCTATGCTGAGTGTGTTAGCTTCTCACTGCTTTTCACAATCTCTCAGCCAGAGGCCTGGCCGCCACAGCTATGTCCACCCTGGTCTGGGCGCCGTCAGCTCTGCAGTCGCTTCCTCGCTGGGTCTAGTCCAGCGGTTCTCAACCTGTGGGTCGCGACCCCTTTGGGGGTCGAACGACCCTTTCACAGGGGTCGCCTAAGACCATCGGAAAACACATATATAATTACATATTGTTTTTGTGATTAATCACTATGCTTTCATTATGTTCAATTTGTCACAATGAAAAGACATCCTGCAGATCAGATATTTACATGACGATTCATAACCGTAGCAAAATTACAGTGATGAAGTAGCAACGAACATAATTTTATGGTTGGGGGTCACCACAACATGAGGAACTGTATTAAAGGGTGGCGGCATTAGGAAGGTGGAGAACCACTGGTCTAGTCTATTCCCCCAAAAGGAACCTAAGGGATTCCATTAAAATCTAAGCCAATCACATTCTCCCTCTAAAGCCCTCCCCATGGTTCTCATCTTATTCAGAGAAAAAGCTTAAATCTCCACTATGGCCCCAAAGGCCCCGCACACCCCTTTGTTCCCTCTCAGCCGCCTCCACCCTCTCCCTTTGCTCATTCGGTTCCACCAACACGGACTTTGCTGTTCCTCAAACACATCAGGCCTCCGGGCCTTTGCACTTACTGTCTCTGCCTGGAGTGCAATTCCCACACATACCCACCCAGCCCAGCACTACCTCCCCTGACCTCCCTGTTTTAAATAATTACAACCCTGAGTCTTCCAGCCCCCATCCTTCTCCTACCCCAGACGGGCTTGGCTTTCTTCTGGGCTGAGTTGGTCGAATTCCTTGGCCACCTCTCGTCCCAGGAAAGCCTCGTGGTCGTACTGGAAGTTGCCGTGGGCGTCATCGTGAGCCGCCTCGCTCAGGGGAGCCTGGTGGTGCACCCTTCCCTGGCCGTGAGGGCCGGCCTCGGGGGAGGGCTTCCCCTGGGCCCCGGGCCTGAGCAGCAAGAGCAGCAGCAGAAGCGACGGTCGCCACATCATCAGGCCCTGAGGAGCGGCGGAGGCTAGGAATCAGGGGTCACGGAGGAAAAAGACAGAGACCAGACCGGAGGATGGGGGAGGGGAGACCTAGAAAAGCACAGAGTGATGGATGGATGGCAGCTGGCCTGGCCGCAAAGTTTGGGGCTCAAGAAGGGTTGGGGTGGGAGGGGAGGGTTGGGTTCTCAGAAGTAAAACCAGCTTTGGGGGAGTCCTGGGGGGGTGGCCCCGGGGGGGGGGGGGGGGGGGATTCAACCGGGACACGTGGCTCGCTTCCCACGCAAAGTGTGGGGCAGGGTCGTGGCTCAAAAGAGAGAAATCATGCAAGTCCCCAGGCGTCGTTTGCAGCCTGGACTCTAACCCACGACCCGAGCGGACCGGAGCGGTCCCCCCCGGGCCGGCCACCCGCCCTCGCCTCCGTTTACCGGATGGTCCAGCCTCACGGTGTTCTCCAAGCTCCGCTCCCCGGTTCTCCAAAAAGATGCTCAATTTGGCGGCTCTCCAGCCAGGCCCCGCCCCCCGACCAGGGCCCGGA